ATGAACAAACCAGCAGCAGGAACCTGATCTCCAATCTTTAGACAGACGACATCCCCCACAACAATTTCAAATATTGAAACTTCTTGTCTTCGCCCGCTTCTCACAACATCAATTTTGATATTACTGCTGATTTTCGACAACTTATCAAACTGTCTATTTTGTCTATAATTACTTATAGCAGAGACAGCAATGACAAGAAAAACAGCAACGAAAATGCTGCCACCATCATACCAACCTTCCTTTAGACCATGCTCTTTGATACCGAATCCAAGAGAAAGCGCTGCGCAGCCTAAAAGAATGGCGATGGTAAGATCTTTAAACGCTTCCACTACAAAATAGAAAAGGCCCTTTGTTGGCGGTTTCTTATACGTGTTGGAACCGAATGCTTGCTGTCGGCGAGCAATCTCCTCAGCACCGCCATAGATGCCACCATCTTTGTCGGTTCCAATGGCAGAAGCAATACCAACAGTGCCACCAAAGTTCTGAACGTGGTGGAGGTCTTTCTTGTTAACAAGCTCTGCAAGACTTGATTGATGAATCTTGAAGTGCTCACTGTCTAAATTAATGTTTAGTGAAGTATAAGACGGAGAGGAAGAAATGTTGGTAGGCCTTTTGAGCTGAACAACTGGTATTTTCGCTAGAGAGTAAATGGTCCTAGAACAATAGATAGTTGCAAAAGCTAAATGCCATCTTTTGTTGGGTTTGCTAAGGGTGGCAGGGACATCAAGTAAACGTTCAATGCAAACCATGTTTGCATGCAGATGTAGGGGCATGTATAATTTCAAAAGCTAGCAGAAAATGGAATAATGACAGACAGGAGAAACAGAAATGACACTTGACAAATTAAAGAAAGGATTAAGCTGTATTAACCTACCAAAAACCAAAGAAGAAACGTAGCTGGAGGCCTACGTTCCGTGGGGATGTAGGAGTCAATGCAGATTAACACTCAATTCTAATTAAAAGATCATGTAATTAACAATAAACTCAATGCTGTGATGATTTTTATGGTTGCTGGTTCTATATAGGGAGCTAGTTACGCGGTGAACGCGTCAAGGTAGTGTAAAATGAGTTGGAAAGGAAGAATTAGATTCCTGCTATGGTTCCTTGCTTGCAGTTTCTGCATCAAGATGGGATGAAGATTAAGTATACGAATCCAATTAGTAGTCTTTGGTTGGCTTAGCATTTTTGCTGTTTATGGATTGTCTCGTGGATTAGGTTATGAGGCCCAACAAACCCAGAGGAGTAGTCCAATTCTTAGCTTCACGGTATTTGACCAGTCAAACGCGGTAGGAGAAACGAATTGAAAAAACTAAAGGGATGCTACGGCTATCTTACCGTTAAAGATACCAACTTGTTGTCACTTGTGACGTTTCATTATAATTTTTTTAATTATTATGTATATCCAAACTAATAGGTATATATTTTAATTAATTTTATAAATTAAAGAATTTATACTTGTGATCATTGTGAAACAAATTTAATGTCTGATTAGTTGAGATACTTTTCAGAATTAATATTTTATTTAATGTATATAGAAATATGGTAAAAAAAATTAAATGTGTTTTTTATTTAAAAATATATTAAAATAATATATTTTTTATTTTAAAAAAAATTATTTTAACACTAATACATTAAAAAATATTTAAACAAAAAATCATAAAAAACAAGTTATATTCCAATCCCAAATAACTTTCTAAAAGGAAGCTTGATGCTTTTCGGTGCACAAAAGAAAAGAATAATTTAAAAATTACTAAAAAAAGAGGAGAAGAAATGTTTGATAAAATTAAAATTTTCTATTATTTTATGAAAAGTTAATGACTCAAAATCTATTATTTTTCTTAACTTACTTTCTATAATATAGCAAACTATTGAAAAATAATTTTCAATATCCAATTAGAAAATAGACACAACTATATACTAAAAATGATTTCTAACTCATTGTTATGATATCTAACTATACAGTGGCTGGAGATTAATTTATTTTCTTCTATCTTGCAGGAATATTTATGATTTTCAAGCAAAAACAATAATATAAAAATTGCCAGAAACAAAAATAACATTTGGTAAAAATTAAGATTTTTTTATTAAAATTTAATAAATCTATTATTTATAACTTTATTTTTTATAATATAATCAAATACTAAAAAATAATTTCTAGCTAATTTTTATTATTGTGATGTTTTCTTAGGTTTTGTTTGTTTGCAAGAAAGTTATTTTTTTTTTAAAAGTAAATTTCTGAAAAGTAAATTATTTTTCAATGTTTGGTAGTGTTATGGAAAATAAACTGGAAAACACTTTCCAGTATTTTGTTATGTTATGAAAAATGAACTGTAAAATAATTTATTAATGTTTTATTTTTTTCAAGTTTATTAAAATAATAAGGAACAAATCTTACAAATTAAAAAGTTGAATAAGAATGAAATTGAAAAAAAATATAATTTCATAAATTATCTAAAAAAAAAAATTATAATCAAAATAATAAAGATCAAATCTAAAAAAAAAAGATGAAGAAATTAAAATAATAATAATTAATATTTCATAAAGTATTTCAAATAAAATAAGTAACAATCAAAAGAATGAGGACTAAATTTGATAGATAAAAAATTTCAATAAAAAAAATAAGAGAAAAACAAATAACAACTATAAAAATAAGGACCAAAGTTAATATAAAAATTAAATTTTAAGAAATAAAATTAAAAAATAAATATTCAAAATAAAACATATATAACAATCAAAAGTTTGATAATTAAATTTGATATAATCAGCAAATAATAATATTTCTAAATTTTTCACAACTTTCAGAAAATGCTTTCTACCCAAATGTTTAAGGAAAACACTTTTCTAAAAACCAAATCAATTTTTTCTTTGACTAGAAAGTGTTTTCTGTTTACCAACTTTTCTAATAGCAAATAAATACAATAAAATTTAGAAAGTAATTTTTCAGAAATTACTTTCTGGAAAACAAACACAACTAAAAAAAATGTTTTTATGAAAACCAAGTCAAAATGTTTTTAACTGAAAAGTGTTTTTCGTTGACTAAAAAGTATTTTTTATTGACTAAAAAATATTTTTTATTGATTAAAAAATATTTTCTATTAACCAACTTTTTTAATAACAAATAAATTTAAAATTTTAAAAAATAATTTTTCATAAAACAATCACACGGTATTAGCTGGAGGGTAGTCTATTTTCTTCTTTGGAATTAAACAAACGAGGCATACTTTTAAACTTGCCGGTCCACAAAGTATATGCCGATATGCTCTGGGCCTTTCTGTTAAGGATAGGCCGAGTAGGACCTAGCCCATCAGCTAGCTTGAGAAGAAGCCCAATCAAAGCTTCTTCTTTTCTTTTCCCTCCTCTCTTTTAAGAATCAATTAAAACGTTTCTAAACGGATACTATTTCCTTACCAAACACTTTCATTTTTCAGTGGGACCATCTACTCGGGAAATTTAATTACTTGAACTCCCATGATCGATGTGGCGATATGAAAGGCGGTGGTTGGTTGGGTCACATGCTAAAATGATTTAAAGGCATACCGACAACTCTTTTACATACAACTTCTTGTTCGTCCATAGATGCCTTCATTAACCCATGTCTCAAATTTTCACCAGCTAAGTTGGTCTCACAGAATGGGAAAGACACCGCCCCAGCTACGTTATCATCATCTCAGCGCCTCCCATTTTGCTACAAAAATTGATGGCGGTGGATTTTTACCGGCCCCCCCTTTGTTTTTCGATCGGATGTTTTAAAAATTATAATAACGGTTATAGTTTAAGTGTTTTTTTATTTAAAAGTATGTTAAGATAAAAAAAATTATTTTTAAAAATTTATTTTTAATATCAAAGTTGCAATATTTTTATATTTTTTATTTTTTAAAATTTTAAAAAATATAAGTTGCCCTGTCACTGTGTTCCCAGACAATCATATTCCTCTCAACCCGAAAAAAAGAAGAGGGAGGGTCCAAATCGACGACTTTTGAGCGTGTGCAAAGGTAGAGGGTTCTAAAGCAACGCAAAGCTATAATGTGGCTGGCCTTAAAAAATATCAGTCTTCAGCCACCCAGCGGGTGGAATAAACTTTAAGACCAAGAAATCTTGAATAGCAGACCCACCCTGTTCAGAGCCTTACCACAACCATTATTCTACACCAGTCTGCTACTTAATTTGCTGGCAGAACTTGGCCAATCTATAATCTACATCTGGCTTACGCCAAATCATTGGTTTCGAGTCCTCGAGTTTGAACCACATGATCAGATAATGGCATGGATATCTTATGAGTTGAGAATGGATTAAATCATCAATCAAAACCTCAACTGTGTGCTTAACTTTATGTAAATTGTATCTTGGATTCTATCCGTGTCCCAGTAACCTTATCGGCCATATGGGTTGGTTATTGCCATCCATGTAGGCCCTTGAAACCCTAGCTTTTTTCACAATCTGAACGTTGACATCCATTATGGAAGTACGGGGTTGGAGGCTTTCATAAACAACCAGCTTAAATATGGTTGATGATAAAATAAATGTCCTACCAAGCATTATTCTTGTAGTTAAGAAGTAAATACTGCACAAGCATCCGCAACAATGCATGCACAAAACTGCTAACTAGAAAGGCTAGGTTGGATTAACCTGGAAGTTGGAGTAACATTGCTAAGGAATTCAGCACATTGTAATCATATGGTCAGGCCAATGACAGGTTACACAAAGCACATTTAGTCGCCGACAGTGAACTTTAATTAGTTAACAGTGCCCCATGGATAGTATAGAATTCCAGATCACAGAATATCAATGTCACACACACACACCAAAAAAAAAAAAAAAAAAGGATCTGGAAACGAGAATGAAAGGATAAATTTGCCAGTACTTTAAGTGATGCATCAATTTAGGTGACAGGTGACCAGAAAATGAGGCTTATGCTTTAAGCAATACAAGTGGAGTAGCCAGTTTAATCATGTATTAACACTGGCAGCCTCACAGAAATCAAGCCGTCCAAAATACTTAGGGCTACAGGCACGTGAAAACAATGATCATCATGGTATGTAGTTTTACACTTGTTGACTTTGAATTTGAACTCCCTTTACTTCATATACCGCCACAAAAAGAGTAGCCATCGCGGCTTACAACTGTTGAATGTTTGATCTTACTGAATCATTTATATAGCAGGATTTAGAATATTGAGCATGGGAAATGAGATGGGCAACAATAACACATCTGGATTGCGAGGTACGGCTTGAAATCTACTTTAGCTTTTCTCTTGCTAATTCTGATGCTTATTAATCAACGCTAATGTATGCAGAAGAAGATACCATGGCCGATGAGGATCAGGGAAAATCTGTACAAGAACTTGTTAATGCCAACGTTGTAAGAGAAGAAAATCATGTGCTTCCTGCAGAAGAGAGTGAGGATTATCATGAAAAAGTTACAGGGTTAGATTCTGACGATCCAAAGGGTTCTGCAGATACTCATGATCATAACCAGGCATCGGATGAGTCAGGTTTGTGGCTTACCATTATCAATATGGAATGCACGCATCCATTATGAATTTTATCTGTTGGTTGTTGACACTGAGGGTTTGTTAAGTTGAACTGAGTAATTTTAATCTGTTAACGGATTTCAACAAGAAACAATATCCATTCGGTTCAAAACAAACAGTGCTGAAAAATCTGTATACTTAACTCATGCCTTCTCCTGTATAGATCATACCGAAGTCCATCCAGCTGCTGGATCTCCTAAAGCAGAACTGAAATCAAATGAAGTAGGTGGCGAAGATAATCGATCTCAACCAGCTTCTTCGCCGAATGAATTGGAAGGTCATGAGAAGCCAACAGAGTCCAATTTGAAGGGCAATGTTCTGGGAGCAAACAGCAATCAGCTTGAGAAGCGAGCTTCCTTCAAGAAAGGTTAACATGCCCTCAGATACTCTGTGATTGCTATAATACATGCCATCATGTTGTATTTTTATTAGACAGAATTCTGTTCATTAGTATTTGGAAAGTAGAAGTAAAACTTAGATTTACGATAAGTGTAGTAAAACCTAGTTTAAACCTTACGTTGTTTTACTATAAATTGCAACAGAGGAAGAGAAGGTCATGTCAACATCACCTATTTTTACCATATCACCATCACATGATCCAGAACCTCAAGACTCTGTGGGATTGAAGTTTGATCAACATGAATTAACAGAAAGTTGTGCTGACCAATCTGCACAAGATAGCTTTACTTCATCGAAACCAAGTGAAAATATCCTAGGAACAAGTATTGCAGGCATCACTTCGGCGAATGATCACCCGTTGAATACCTGCCTATCTGACAATCTGGATGGAATTCTTGTTTCTGGGACCAATCTAGATGTGGAGGAGAAACGGGTTGACTTGTCAGAGAAAGAAATGACATCTCAAGAAGATGAGATGCTCAGTGAAGAGAAAGTTGAGGCTGGAAATTATTCAGCCAAAACAACTGTTATTGACGCAACAAGGATATCATCAGATTCTCGAAGTGATTGCATAGATAAATGTGAAGAGTTCACCAGTGAAATGGATTGTTATGGAAACAATTGCTCAGAGTCACATCCAGAGGCCAATCTGATAGCTAACTCTCTAAACTCCCATATAGAACTATCTTTACCTGAAGACAAATGCTTTGTCTCTACTGAAGAAACTGAATTCATGACAGGAATAGAAGCTAACGAGCATCACTACGACCTGAATCACTTACGTGAGGATTCAATTAGAGAATCAGATAATGACTTGGCAAATGCATCTCAAACTGATTTTTTTCTCGGACCAAGTTGCAAGAATAATGAGGAGAGTTCAGTTAATGTTTCTCATGATCCTGTTAGCAACGGAAGCTGCCAAGTTGAGAAGGCAGAGGTTGATGAGAATGGCTACCACGTTGACTTGTTCAATGGCATCCAGAGAGAAGATTTTGAAGACAGCTGCAAGGAACCTGAAGGAGACACTATGATGGTTCCTGAACTTGGAATGCACCCAAAAGAGTTATCCATGTCCAATAGAAGAGACAATGACGAGGAAACAGATTGTACAATCGGGGAAGAGAAACCAGAAGAGAAGCAAATTGTCGAAAAGGAGAAGACCGAAGTTCCATGTTCCGTGGGTAAGGGTGCAGAAGAACAGCAAAGCGGAGAACAGTTCACGTCCAGAACAGTTTCGGTGCAAGCAGAAGCATATACCCCAAAGGCTCCGGCTTCTCTGTTCCAGACTCAAGATCAACAACAAGAAACGGTAATGGCATCTGCCGTTGCTCAATGTAGCTATGAGTTAGCCCTGGAATTGAAGCCTGAGAGTTGCAAGGAGTTCCTTGTTGCAAAGGCTTCTACTGACCAAGCCGCGGGCATAAATATTGTAAGGAACTCAGCTTCTACGGTTGAGTTGGCAATGGACAAGCCTCAGCAAGAAGATTCATTCCATGTCATAGCAGCTCCAGAAATTGTGAGAGAAACCAAGTCCTTCGCTTTTGAACGAAGTGAAATACTTGAAACAATTATCTTTCTAAAGGGTGGCCATGAGGTACAAGAAAGTGTGGGGAGGTTCAGCACTGAATCAAATCCTGACAATCTGAACATCCATGTACAGATGCGAAAGTCGCCAAGCTTTGATCTTGATCTCCGAATAGAAGCAATGAGTGAAGAGTCAGATCAGACTCCACTGCTTTATCAAGACAAGACTACAATTGAAAGGTCATCAAATCAGGCTAACGTCAGCCTGCAAAGTCCACGTCTGCTTCCTCACTATAATCAAGAATCACTTCGAGCAAAGCCAGGGGAAGAGAAAGTGATTACTCCGGAAAGAAGTAATTCCGAGAAGTCAAGAACATCACCTCTTGGTTTCTTGAAAGAAGAAGAGGCTCATGTTCTTGTTACACCAACGAAACAGGATAACCATGCTGCTGCAAAGAAGGCAGCTAAGGATTTATGGAACTCACGTACGAAGGAAGTGGCATCAGCTTCACCTAAAGCTAAAGAGAAGCATAAGCGCAGAACATCCCTCTTTGGTCAGTGCATGTGTTGTGCAACAGTGATTAATTGATAGAAATTGCCAGTTTCTTCGAGTTCTACTTTTCAATTTGTTTTGGATGGCTTTCTTACGTAATCCTAAGTTTTTCAAGAAATGGAGTTTTGATCTATGGAGAAATTGTCGGTTGGTTCAGTTGACCCAAGAAAGGGTGGTTAATAAGTCTTCTGCGTCTGTATTTTTTGTGCTCTTCCCTGTATATACTTTCTTCTGAACTTGCATTGCCTTGTATTCTGATGCAAGTTTTTAGCTGAATGTCTTGATTTAGTTCGTTTGTAAGTTTTATTTGTTCATGAATTTGTTGGAGAGATGGTGGAAGGTTTGGAAAGGAAATTGTAAACCGGGCAGCTTTGCCGCTGCCTTTGATTTTGTTATTTGTTTATTCTATTTATAACACGAACTTAGTGAAGCCGTTTGTTTGAAATTTCAACAGTGTTGTCTTGTTTTTCTTGATAAAAGGGAGCAGGAAGTCAGATTGTATCAGAAGTGGTGCTCAAAATAGGCCACCCGACAGATAGACATTCTGACATCGACGATATATATCGCAGCGTTCTCTGGATCTTTGGAGGCGTCACAGACGAAACTTTACCCTTTTCTGATAGAGGCTGTGGCTGGGACGTGGAAGCTACAGAAACAGCCCATGGACAGTAATCTGCCCTTCAGCATGCAGGGGGGGGCCCAAAGAAACATTCTCCTGTCAATTCAAGACGACAATTTCCCACCAAGGAACACCATAAGGTAAGCTCTTTCTGGCCCAGGAGATCACGTAAACCTCAATTGAGGAAAAGCTATGAATATACAACATACCGTCCTTGATCGATCAAATCCATACCGTCCTTGTCAATTGAGGAAGTCTAAGGAGGGAAATGCTTCACAATTCATTCATAGAAATTGAAAGGAATATTAAACCTTGGTAATTAATCCTTCTGTTAGCTATGCCAATGCCGACATAAATCTTATCCCCGTACGCGCATAGCAAAACACCACACGCTCTTACATACGACGTGGAGTCTGGAATGGTCTGTTGTCTTTACACGTTGGCATTACATATTATACAAGCGGAGGTCATTTAAGAAAGCAAAAGCCAAAGAAACTTCATTTGCTTCTTTCTTCCCAAGTAAGATAACAGAAGAAAGAGCAGGTCAAATAATGGGAAAGGGACGGTTTTCTTCTCCATCTTTTTTAAAAAAGAAAAAAAAAGATGATATTGTAATATTTTGAAAGATAAGAAAGGTTTTAATAGGAAATAACGAAAATACCCTTGACTTGACAAAATAGATAATAGATATAAAATCAGTACATTGTTTTTGTTGAACTTTGCATCTTTTTTATTAAAATTAATGTTATTTTGCATCAAAACAAATAATTTATACTATGAATTTATTTATGATATCAATTATTTATTTATTTATTGATAAATTGAGGTATCCAAATTAATTTATATGTATTATAATTAATTTTTGAATTTACTAAATACCTTATAAATCTAATAAACAAATAAAATATTATAAAAATAACAGATATATATATATATAAAATCAAACCCAAATAACAAAAAGGAAAAACAAATTCTTTTCCCACCCGATCACGACATCAAGTGATATGATATCAATTATTACGTAGATATTTGATGGAGTTAAAAGAAGAAGTTTGTATAAATATTTGGGTTTGCACAGATAAAAAACACATGGAAAAGGACCTAATTTACATGTAAAACAAGTCTTCACACACACGCATAAAGTTTCTTGATTGGATTCGTGGAAAAGATAGGTACTTTTCATACATAGCCGACCATCGGTCCTTTGTCAAAAGTCATGAGTGCAACCAAAAGTCATATCTTCATAAATCCTTTGAATTGGAGTCCTGGAAAATACACGAATTTAAAAGTTCTGGGTAAATTATGTGAACGCATATAATGATTCTTGCACGAATTTTGTATCATAGATTGCGAGCCATTCTTTGATCAAGTGGAGCCGTAAAGGAGCCCCACTTGGATAGTTTTTGAGTCTGTATAGAAATACCCCAGCATATATTGCTTAGATTAGGACCAAATTGAAATAGTCTCTATCAATTAAGGATTAATTTATAGTTTTATTTCACTAGGTAGTTTTTTACTAAGTTTGTTAACTTAGTTTGAAATTATAATAGCGGTAATAATTTAAAATGTTTTTTACTTAAAAATATATTAAAATAAAATATTTTATTTTTTAAAAGTTATTTTTAATATCAATATATTAAAACAATATAAAAATATAAATTTTAAATTTTTTAAAAATATATAATTTTAACCACGTTTCTAATCATGGTTCCCAACACGCACTGGTATTCACTATTTCCGTTGGAAATTAAATTCATAAATAAACAACTTTTGGACTACAAAACAAGAATACAATTCAGCTTTGGACGAATCAAATGGTGATTTTTCAGCTCATTCTAATTTTTGGTCATTCCTAGCTAGCTACTTAGAGACAGTTTTATTTTCAACGGTTGTAAAGTATTTTTTATAATTTTTTATACGTATCTTTAGATTGTTTTTATATATTAATATTAAAAATAAATTTTTAAAAATAAAAAAATATTATTCCAATACATTTCTAATAAAAAAAAACCCTACTACAACATCAAAACACTGAAAGCAGCAGCTGCAAGCAGCTGCTGCCTGCTGCTGCTGCAACAACAACAAATACATACGGTAATGGAATGGGAGAAAGCTGATTTACGAAGGAATTTAGATGAAAATCAAAGAATTTTGAGCGTGGCATTCTTCAATCTGATTCGACTGAATTTTTTACCCCACATTCATCATCATTTTAACAAATTCGTCATAATTAACTTGACCATCACCGTCCAAATCAGCTTCTTTAATCATCTGCTCCACCTCCTCGTCAGTAAGCTTTTCACCTAAATTGATCATGACATGCCTCAACTGAACATGAACAAAAAGAGAGAGTTTTTAATTTGCTTAGATTCTCTGGCCAATTAAATAAGTAAAATGCTATAATCCAAATGCACTGTCCCATGAACAATGGCTAATGTTCGCTGCACACTGAGTTGTGCTAAACCTTCAACTTGGGAGAAACATGTGAAATACCAGATACGAAGATTTATTAAATTTTTTACACGAATATCAATATAAAAAAATTACTTTTTTTATATATTTGGTTTACTTGTGTTGTTTGCAAAAAGCACGAGTATTAAAAATTTGAACTCTAGACACTAGACAATGTCTCTCCTCTTTCACCAGTGATAGAGATTCTCACAGCAATAACATACAGTCTAAAATTGTATTTTAAAAAAAAATATTAAAAAAATTATTGAAACTTTTTTATATTTTTGGATTTTTTATGTGTTGATATTAAAAATAAATTTTTAAAAATAAAAAAATATTATTTTAATATATTTCTAAATAAAAAACATCTTAAAAAATAACAGTTATCATATTGCTAAATACTAATTAACTAAATATCTAAATATTCATTCGGTAAAACATTTATTAAGGCTAATCTCATTTTCTTGTTATTATTGGAAAATTTTAAAGAAGGTTTTTTCAAACAATTCTTAAAGATGAACAATCCATTTCAAATCCAATTAAAATAGAACTTATTCTTAATATGTAAAAACTGGCCATCTTTAAGTAAAAAAGACCCCCATTTGCTTATATTTTTATGGTCTATTTTCCCTCCCCTTGATTTTATTAGTGATTATTTGGGGAACTCGTTTGTCGACATCATTGTCTATTTCATTTAATGTTTAGTATTATAATTTTTTTAAAATATTTTTTATTTAGAAATATATTAAAATAATATTTTTCATTTTTAAAAATTTATTTTTAATATCATAAATCAAAAAAATTAAAAAGTTAAGTCAAAATAAAAAAATCAAATTTAAAAATAAAAATAAAAACAAATAATACCTTGTATGAAAATAATACCTTGATTAATAATACTAATTTTTCGTCAGCGTCAACCCTCGATAAAAACAAAAGCAAGAGACATGTCGATTGAGGATAAGCATGACTTTGCACAGCACTATCATTTTTTAAATTTTAGAATTTCTAAATTTTTTTAGAAGCCTGAATTTTCAATTATGAGAAAAAGTAAACAAGATATTGAGTTAGTTTTCATCGTACGAGTGGATCTTGTGTGGTAATTTACTATAGACGTAAATTATTTTCAATAAATATTACGAATCAAGATGTCGATTAATAATATATATTAATAAAAAATGGAAAAGAAGGCCAAATTAATTACTCATATATATTACCTCATTAGCTGATATATAGCCATTCTGATCCTTGTCAAACACCTTGAACGCCTCCTTAAGCTCTTCCTCCGCATCAGTCTCCTGACAAATTCATTAATATATTTCAAAACTGTAGCCTTATTACCAAACGCTATATATATATATGAATTACTAACACAAATCAAAGGGTAATATTAATTAATTAATTATAATTATATCAAACAAATGTACGGTCACGTGTGGGTGTTTGTGATATACCTTCATTTTTTTGGCCATCAAGCTTAAGAACTCAGCAAACTCTATTGTCCCATTTCTATCAGAATCAACTTCGCTAATCATATCCTGAAGTTCTTCTTCTGTTGGATTTTGATCCAATGACCGAATGACCGTGGCCAATTCTTCAAGGGTAATGCAACCTGCATCCATGTTTTATAGATACATGTATGCTCAAGTTATAATTAATATAAATGTTGAACACGGATTGAACACGCAGCAAATTATGACATAATTAAGCTATTTAGAAAGAGGAAACTAACCATCTCCATCCTTATCAAAGAGACAAAAGGCTTCTCTAAATTCAACAATCTGTTCTTCAGTCAGTGCCTCTGCCATTATATGTTTGCTTTTTCGTTCAAGAACAGCCAGAAATCAAAACTTCTGGTTAATAATGGGAACGACAGAGAGAGGGAAGGAGGGAGAGAGGCCGGGGAGAAAAGAATGCTGAGCACTACAGACTGTAGCTCGAGTGCGTGCGTGGGAGAGAGAGGGAGGGAGGTGTTTTTTTGGTGACGAGAGAGAATATGATGAGTATAGCTCACTCTTAGCTGGGTATATGTAGACATCCAATGAGGGGAAGTGGAGCAGCATTTTTCCTTGTTTATTTTTTTTTTTTTCAAATTAATAGATCACGAGTCAAATCAAGCTTATGACTAGATTGGTTGTCAAGGTATTATTGGCCAGGAAAGAATCAAAAAGGCCATCTGCTCTCTCTCTCTTTGACCAATGACCTTGCATTGCTTTTGGATAGATGGTCTATGGTGCATGTATATTGTATCCATAGCATTAGGTTTAGCTAGCTAGATGAGCATGTTTGACTTGAAAATTTTTACAGCTATAAGGGTTCGCTGCTTAGGAGACAAGGAGCATTCAAAGAGTAGATGGATGACTTATGGGGAGGTGTGCACTTTGTTTTCTACGGGGTTGGAAGGTTTTTTTTAATATAGAGATATATTAAAATAATATTTTTTATTTTTGAAAATTTATTTTTAATATCAGTATATTAAAATAATTTTAAAATACTTAAAAAATATTAATTTAAAATATTTTTTTAATTTTTTTTAAAATATATTTAAAATGAAAAATAAATAGGGTTTAATTTTCTGCCCAAAGCTTATGATGCTTTGCTTACTCGGAAAGAAAGATATATTTCTTATAAAATTATCTTAACATGCATTTTGATGACCTACATGAATGTCTCTTGTGCTGAGCATTGCCTTGAAAAATGTTATTTATTGTTGGTTTTTCATGTATCAAAAAGAAAAATAAATTGTTAATTTTTGCTTATAAAAAATGTATACAAGCAAGTTGAGCACCGAAACCAAAAAATAAAAATATATTAAAATAATATTTTATGTCAAACATACTCAAATGTAATTTTAAATATAAAAATAATTTGTAGCACCGAAACGAAAATACATCAATGATATTATTTGCATATATAAAATTTGGATTATTATATCTCCCATTTTTGGATATGTTCATTATATTTCAAACTGTATCATTGTTTCTGTAATATAATGATTCTGAAAGAAACATTGAGTAATTATATTTTTATCATTTTTTAAATATGTTAAAATTATGTTCCTTCATTTGAATTTCATGATTTAAAAATAATAAATATTACCAAATATGAAAGGATTTCAATCTGCCCATGCTATATTATCTCCTTTTAACAATTACAGTTCATTAACTTAATTGTTAATTAAAAGGACAATATGAACGGGACCACTCCGACGTGACTGGGGGCGCGTGTTTACCTCCTTAGCCGGCTTATGATGTAGTTAATCTATTTATAATATATGATTAATGCCAGCCTTGAGTCATAAATGGAGCTAGATGCATATTAATGAGACTGCCTGTCCACGCGGTTTCTCTTTACTAGAGGTATTTAAAGAAATAATAATAGTTGTTTTTTAAAATATATTTTTATTTTAAAATATATTAAAATAATATTTTTTATTTTTTAAAATTTATGGTTGATATCAAGATTTCTAAAAATATATAAAAAATTAATTTAAAAAAAAATAAAAAAACTTTTAAAATAAGAAACAAACTGTCAGGACTCATTTCGATATTGCCGACTGCAATAGTACATTGCAGGCTGTATTATACAGTACGGTAAGTACGTATCATAGAATTCAGTACACGGATTCTCTTACAAGGTCCAGCATTCACGTGAATTGTGGTCCAACAGTTATGCTGAAATTATCAGAAGACTGTTGACCTATAAACTAACTTGATAGAAATTGATCGAGTCCTCATCACGACTAGGCCTCACCAATTGCTGAAAATTGTGTCCACCTTCTCGAACTCGATTTGATCGACTCCTACGGCGACAACCTTACAGGTCCATTGCCTACACAGTGAGAATGAAATCTATAAGAAAAAATTTACCGAGGGTGGGGAGGGTGAAATTAAAACAAAAAATTGCAGCTCTAAAATTATCCAATTCAATGAATTATCTTAAAAAAATTATAACCAAAAGAACAGAAATTAAATAAAAAGTAAATAAAATTTTAGAAATCAATTTAAAAAATCAAGTAGCAAGACACCAACATAGAAGTAAATAGAGAAAAAAAAATAGCAGCCGGGAACAAACCGACCCTTTTATTGATATACACGTGATATATTTAGAAAAAAGATATCAAGATAAAGTTTAAGTTATCTTAAAATGATATTTTTTATCTTTAGAATTAACAACATGCATTGTTCAAAGGCAACAAAGTTAATTTGTAGTTATTTATACTTTGCGCAACAATATTAAAAATAACAAAAAGGCCCTCCATTTGTTTTTTTTTTTTTTGTTCCTAGGATAAAACTGCTATTTTAAAATGTATTTCTAGTCGAAAATAAAAAACTAACCCAGAGTAGAAGTTCAAAAATTAATTTCTTTTAGAAGCTAAAGAAGAGTAGCCTTGGTGAGTCCATAAAAAAAAATGTTTATAAAAGGTTAATTTATCAATGACTTGTAAAAAGCTAGGTATTATTGTTTTTATTCAATGTGAGATTTTGAGAATGATGAATCAAGATGTTAATTGGTTGGTCAACAACAAGTCCTCCACATGCTAAACTATTGATTAGTAGAACTAGGAAAAATTACTAGCCCAATTCGCTATTAATCCTCTAGCAAACTAACATTTACCTTCTTCCCTTTTTTTTCTTTTTTCTTTTTTTTTTCAGATTCATCTTTTATTTCACTATAGATTGCCCCTGTTGTTACAACCAGGTTTCTATGTGTGTTTGGTAATGATATATTTTTTATTGTTATGGTTTGAAAAAATAAATTTAATAAAAATTATAAATTATAGTTTTTTCTTAACTATAATGTTAAGAAAGAGTTTTCAATGAAATTTACATAATGTATATTAATTAATCAAATATTTTTAAATATATAAGGCAGTGCAAAACACAGACCATATCAAACTTCATTACACTACAAGGATAAGCAAATCATTTTGAAATATTTCATTTGTCGTTTTTTGTGTATTATAAGGGAACGTTGTATATAAAACGATCATAACGGCTCAACTCCCTGCACGCATGCATGATACATCCCCTTCGCGGCTATTTTCCTTCATGTTTTGTATATGAACCCATTGCATACAAATAAAATCCAAGAGAGGCTGTTTTCCTTTCTCAGAAACACCCCCTCTCCGGCAACAACAAGGTGCGTGCATAACTTATATAGACTTGGTTTCTTGAATTTGTTGTTGCTTTCTTTTTGTATAGCCAATTAATGAGCTTGAACCCCCTGTTTTTGTTAATTATTGCTAGTCGCTTGTTATTCTTTATTTTTCCCTATCTTCCCTTGAGTGAGTTGGGGAGCATTCTTTTATTGGAATGTATTGTGGGTTTCTCATTATCTTCTGTTTGGTTACTGAGAAAATGGAGGAGAAGTCCAACGTAAAAGAAAAGAACCTCCGTCTTGTGTTCTTACTAGTGCTTGTTTATCTTGATGTTTTTTATTTCAAGAAAATGTAAAATCCAAGCCCAATTTAATACAAACAATTGCAATTATTATACTATTTTGGCAGATGGTTGTTTTCTTGATATATAAATTTCTATTTCTTGAAAGTCTTTTGATCCTTTTCTCCTTTTTAAATGTATCGGCAATAAAATAGACCCACACAAAGGGTTCAGGATTTCAAGGGTTTATTCAAGATGCATTTCTTTTGTATCTTGCAACTTTAGCTTAGAAAATTCGAGACTGGGATTTCTTTGGTATGGACCAGCTGCACGCGTGCATTTGAAATAGTAATTTGAAAGATATGTTTCTGTGCTGTAACTACAATACTTAATCAACGCCTAGGGTTCGTGTCATTTGGGCCTAATCAACGAGTCAATGAAGTTACTTGAGTGGCAATTTTGCATCAAGGGCCAGGTAGTTAATAGTGTGGTTTTAATGTATTATGATATACAACAATTGGCATGGTTATTGTTATTAATTAGCCTTTTCTCTTTTTATTTAGCTAAGGAAAATGGTTTAAAGGCACTGCAAAAACTGCCCCTTAAGCGGATTTTGCGATGGTATTTAGGTTCTTTGACAGGTAATTAGTTAATATGCCGAAAAGAAATTCTGCTTCTACATCCAAGCAGTTTGGGGCATGTGAGCTGCTAACCGTAGAAGTCTAATAATGCACATACTGTCAATAATATTTTGTGTTATCAGTGATATGATAACCTGCAGTTGTTCATATTTTCTACTTTGTTGGAACGTAGATCATCTGCTACGATTATTATGATGGCTTGCTGGAAGCTTTATAATTTTTTTATATTGTTATTACCTACTCAAGTTTGTGTTCATTTACAAATTTGATGTTAGACATTTTGAGTACATTTACTATATTTTAAGAGTGCTGGTATAAATTTACTGGATTTGTCTGTCACAGCTTTAAGAAAATTGTTCTAAGTTCTAAAGTTTGAGTTATTAATGTTACGTTAGCTCCTTTGAGAGAAGAAGAATGACAAATACACAAAATCCTGAAGTATTTTTAGACATATCCATTGGCGGGAATCTTGCAGAAAGAATTGAAATAGAGGTAAGTTACAGGTCAGATATTTTCTCTGTTTACACCCCATTGTGACCCTGTATTTACGCAGTCGTGCCCTTTTCAGCTTCTTGCAGATCACGCCCCTAAGACTGCACAGAACTTTCTAGCGCTTTGCTCAGGTGACATGTAAATCTTCTCTATATTGTTAGAAATTCTGAAAGGCATGATGCTTGAAATTCACAATGTGAACTTGTTTAGAAAGCTGGATAAACATGAAATTGGTTCTATTTGTGTGCCAGTCGACGTATAGATTATCCGATGGGTGGCTTCTGTAAATTAATTAGGTTAAAATAATAATTTTTGCCAGCTCATGAATCTCAATAGGAACTATATATCAATTCAAGTGCCACCTGCAATTGCATCACAGTTGAATGTCATAGATCTTTTTGTTATGGTTAATGAACAAGCATCAGAGAGACCTTTCAGTAAAATTCTCTCTTATGTATTTGATATCAAGTTTAAAATTGTAGGTGACATGGGGCTTGGAAAGCATACGGGAAAGCCTATGTACCTCAAAGGGTCAACTTTTTATAATGTAGTGAGGGGAAAATGGGCTGAGGTATTCGTCTTCCTTTCTTTCTTAACGGCTTTATAGTTTGTCTATAGTTTGCTGTATCCAGAAGCCTCTAAATAGCGATCATTACAGGCATGCCATTAAATAAGTAAAAGTTATGCTCACTGTTTTCGTGGTTCATGCAGTCATTCATTGTTTCATTCTATTATCATAGATAGATTTTGGTATGAGCCTGTTCATAGAATTAGTGAAATCATTTATTATGGACGAGACCTTCTATTGAAAGATCATGCTGATAGTCTGGCTTAAGCAATCTATACTACAGGCCCATTGAAAGCCTGCTGCAAAGATATGTCTCATTTTTCATGGAACCAAAAAAATCTCATCATTTGTATCCCTTGGTTTTGCTAAATGTTTCATGCAACCTTATTCTCTTCTTAATGTTTTTTCCTTCTTCACAGGGCGGAGATTTCTCTGAGGAAAATGGTAAGTCAACAGCAAGGTCTTCTGATCCTTCCAGTTATGCAACCGTTTTTTTTCATCGTTATTCACAGATTAGTAAACCATCAGTTGCAATGATGATTTCAGGAACTGGTGGAGAGAACATATATGGAATACCATTTTTTGGTATGTAATATGAGCCCGTGTGCCTTAATATGCAGATCTCAGTCACCCTCTAGTGTCTTTGTTTCCAATGCATGTTTTCTTATGTGTGTATCTGAAAGGAGAAGTTTGCTTTTGTCACTGTAGTTTGGATTATCGTTTTCTGTAATTATGTTAACTTCAATCTTTACATATGCAGATGAGGGCGGGAGACTCAAACATGATGCACCTTATCTTCTCACAACGGCAAGTGATTATCATAAATATACAATCGGATCCTGTTTCTTTATCACCTTCAATGAGCTAAATGAACTCGATGGGTATGGTGTTATTTAGTTATTTGGCACAGAGCTCTAATTTCTAATTCCTATTTTCTAGATTACTTTGTATTTCACGATGCTAACAACTTATTCAGCTTCACTTATACGTGATTATTACACAACATTCAATGATGGCATATTCTACCTGTTCCCAGGAAACATGTTGTGTTTGGAAGAGTTGTGAGAGGCTATGAAACTGTGCAGAAAATTGAACAGGTCCAAACATTTCCTGATGGAAGGCCCGAACATCTTGTCATCATTACAGCATGTGGAGTATCTCCTAAAACTAGAAGTCTTAATTCAACCTTGATAAGGAAAGGTATAGCATTTGCTGAATTTTCTGAACAGTTTGAAATCTTAATGCTTTTCTTTCCTGAAAAAAATCAATATGATTTGCCTTGTAAGGTAAAAAAAAAGATTTCTCCAGCAATTTCATATTGAAAAGGCAGATGAAGACTATGCGAAATCTTTTCTGATTAAAAACGAGATTGAGTAATTTCAAGTTTCTGGCTGTAGTTTTCAACAGTGTTCCAATTATTTGGGTTCTTTGACAGATTCCATGTTGCCTTCTGAAGGAAGACATTCGAGAAAGAGAAAGTCAAAAAGACACAGAGTTGTTGAGCAGCACTCTGAATCCAGGTTTTTGATGTTGGCTTGCTTTGATCCATTCTGATGTTAGCTTGCTATTTTCCTATATGCACGTATGAAAAGATGTTTCATAAACTCTTTATCTGCTTTCTTATGCGGGAAAACTTCTTTTTTAATTCAAAAGGCAGAAAAGCTAATCTTAGTAGAGCAGATGTGGGACTGTGAAAGCTGGTGTGACTTGTCGTTGTAAATATTCTGAACTTTTCAGGCATGATCAAAAACAGAAAGGTCATTCCAATCAGTCATCTCCAAGCCATTACCAAAGCAAGTCAAGAGAAAAAACTTCCCCTGGATGGTATTCTCTCGTTAGTACACTGACAGCACATGGCTCTTGTTATCTTCGTTTTCTTCTCAGCATAATGTCAAAATTTTGTTTAAGCAGGAGTGCTCGAAGCAAGAAAAACTGACACATGTTATCATTTTTGCAGGAATTATGAAGGTGACGGGAATAGTGCCAAGGAATCAGTCCCTAGGCATTCAAGGAGCAAATTGAGAGACAAGACTTCCCAAGGATCCCGATGGTATACTCTCTCCAGTGTTTTGTTTTGTTTTGGTTGCAATCCTCTTCGTCACTTTTCCCAGACCACTCTTTCTCTCAGGCGTTCTTCATATACCTGTTTTCCCTTCATAAAATAGAGAAAACAAAGCATGAAAACGCATAAATATTGTGTTTTTTTCAGGCCTAGTCCAATCAAGAGAAGTGATTCCAAGCACTCACCTAGGAAGCGTCACCGGAGCAATTCAAGAGACAGAACAGGCCATCAATGGTATTCTATCTTCATTGTACTCTCGGCGATTTGACATTCTTGTGATTATGTTGGAATCATTTTCTTTTGGTTGTAAAGTAATAGCTTCCCAAACCATCCCGGCTCTCACAAATTCTTGATTTACTGTTTTCCCCTTATAAAATACTTGAGTAAGAGAGAGCAAGGCAGGAAATCATGCACATGTTCTGATTTTTGCAGGCGTATTCGAAGTGAGATAAGCGATGCAAGGAACCGATACACGAGCAAGTTAAGTGACAAAACTCTCGTCCAATTATATTTCATCTTCATTGCACTTACGAAGATAAGTGATATCGTGGCATCCTTATATTGAAATTCATTTTTTCTAGTTAATTTAACCAGCTTCATGCCTTTTTCAATTCTAGATTAAAAAAGCAAAGGAACTTATTTTCCTCTCGGAGACCACTCCATTTTTCATTGACAATTTTCCCTTCATTTAATACTTGAGCAGGTGTGGCCGAAGCAGGAAAAACTTGCAAAAAGCACCTGGTTCACATGCACATGATCGTGGTCACAGCAAGCAACAGAATCACTGTCCAGATCCTGAAACGGAGTTTCCTAGCTTGAGTAAGAGTATGCAAATGCGACTCCGTCTCCCTGGAGATGATGCACAGCCTTAAGATTGGAGTTCTAACTAATTGAATGAGCTATTACAAGCATGAGATTGTTGTAAAGTCATGTAATTAGGTGGTATAATTAATGGGATTTGAGTGGGAGATGAGTTGTAATTGGTGGAGGATGAGTTGGTATAAGGATGAGTTGTTAGGCATATATTCCTCCTAAATTTATGACCATTATACCCTCACTATTGCCTATAAATAGGCAATGCATTCAAGCCTATATGCACACCAAAAAAATAGAGAGAAGAAGAAGAGAGTGAAGAGAGAGTAATCCCACAAAATTATGAGGTATTTGTGATAGAGTAAGTGAGGTGTTTTCTCCTAATAATAGAGAGATTCTTAATTGTTCTCCTATTATTAGAGAGAGGTTGTAATTCTCACATTACTTAGTAAAATCCTTCTATACTTGTCTGTGGACGTAGCCCAATTGGGTGAACCACGTAAATTCTTGTGTGTTCCATTTCTCATTTTATCCGGTATCTTATCTTTTATCTTGTCGGGTTTGCATGTCAGCATCCTAACAATTGTCCTGTTGATGATGTACAAACTGTTGAAGATCAATTGCAATTTCCACTTGATCCTAAAGGAAGTTGTAATAATCCCTGATTGAAATATGTTAGCTGAAAATTAGAAGATAGAATTGGACATGTTTCTCAGTGCCACACAGTCAGAACCCTAGCTTTTGTTGGGTATGCGACCAAAGTCCCACATTGGTTAGAAATGGGGAGGATCAAGGGTATATAAGGATGGACAAATATCTCCATTGGTATAAGGCCTTTTGGGTATAATCCAAGAGCAAATCCATGAGGGTTTTATCCCAAAATGGACAATATCATACCGATGTGGAGATAGGTGGTGTCCATAATCCTTATAAATGGTATCAGAGTCATGCCCCCGAGTTAGCCATGATGGATGAATCCTCTGAATGCCGAACAAAAGGTGGTGGGCCCTAATTAAAATTACGATGTACTCCATGGATCAGCTCTATTGGATAGGCGGGGTGCTCCGGATACTTCATGGACGTGTCCTCATCTCAACACGATGAAGAGGAGTTGACCTAGAAAGAGCAAAAAAAAAATCTCAAGTCAGGTAGTGTTCTCCGGATGCTTCATGGACGTGTCCTGACCCCAACACGATGAAGTAGAGAGAAGTAGAGAATGAAAAATCCTGGTTGGTAGAGAGTGGATGGATAAATGATCGTTTGAGGAGAGGCTCGGTGGTCCTTTGTTCGAGGAAAGGATTGTTGGGTATGCGACCAAAGTCCTACATTGGTTAGAAATGGGGAGGATCAAGGGTATATAAGGATGGACAAATATTTTCATTGGTATGAGGCCTTTTGGGTATAATCCAAGAGTAAATCCATGAGGATTTTATCCCAAAATGAATAATATCATACCAATATGAAGATAAGTGGTATTCATAATCCTTACAGCTTTGGCACCTCCAAACCACATTTGAGCCTATGTTAGAACTAAACCCACCCCCTATTTGGATAAGGCTGGGAAAGAGGGCTACTTTTTGGAACTAAAGTGGAACTTTTCGGCAAAGGAATTACAAGACTTTGGGTCTGAACAATCCATTACAAAACGCAGCAAATGAATTCCTGATGTCGAGGATAAATCAAGAAATGATGTCTTCTTGATACGTACTTTCCTGTTTCTTGACAGCACATTCATCCTGATACGTCCTTTCTTGTTTCTTGACAGCACAATTTTAATATTTTTAAAATATATTCAGAAAATATTTTTATTTTGAGTTTTTTATGAAACAAATTAAAATCAACAACCATCATCGTAAATTCCAAAGACCACTTTGTTTATTTTTTAAAAAAATTGATTATCAACTGTAGCTTTTTATATTTAAAAAAAAAACAGGAAATGAAAATATACCAAAATCAATTAATTTTTTTTTTCTTAGAATGAATTATTAGATTGAGAATTTCAAATTTATACCAAAAACAGGGAACTATCAATTTTGAATCATTTTACTATTATTTTTCTAATTTTTTAAATTTATTGATTTTGCTATTGTTTTTTATTAACGGGATTTTGAATATAATATAGGATTTTGTCAAATCTTTAAATCTAAATACTTTTTATAATTTCATGATATTCTAAATGATTTATTATAATTCATCATATTTTTTAAATAGTATGTTTACTATTCATTTGCTTTAGGTTCATGGAATTTGACCCTCCCCTTGAAATATAACAAGACTTCCACAGAATCACTACATACGACTCTCTACTCCAGATGCAAAATGAGCCAAAAGGAGGCTTGGTGATCATCATTCACAGATAGCCCATCAAAGAAAAAGTATACTGTTCTCCTGATTGCAGACAGCATTCAGGTTAGATTCTCACCATCTCCAAACCATTAAAAGGCAGAAAACAAAAGGAAATAAAACAACTTGCTAGATTCATATTCAGAAAGGATGCGTCTTTTGCAATGGACCTTTGCAGTGAGGTTTATGACAATATTACCTTTTCCAGTAATAGAAATTTATGAAACGGTTATCAGGAATACCCATTGAGTAAATCCCATCATTTCTTGCATGCCAAGTGCAGTTTTTTGTTTTATAGCTGCACTTATAAAGAAGATCATCCTCGTACCAAAAGATGTCGTAGCTTCCACCATGATTCTTACCCCAGTTGAAATTGCACCAAAATAGTGTGGTTCCCCAGAAATTCACCTTAAAAGTGAAGTGGAAGTTGGCTTCGACTGGTAATGCATGCCCGCCAAGATCATCATGCTTTGATTTACAACGTAAACTGAGGGTATCTTTGTTTAAATCGTTGAAAATGTAGACATGAAACCTTTCTCCGATTTTAATACTAAAACAGGAATGATTCATTGCAGAATGCAGATTGGTCGCGAGATGCAAGGTTTGATTTACCATTGCCGTATCTGTTGGTGGAAAGTAGAAGAGACGGGGCTTGAATTGTTGGGATCCATAGAGGTGGATAAAATGAGATGGGTTTACGGAAAAGAAATGGGATGATTGGGTTCATGAGGCTTGTTGAGATCGCGCAGAGAGCGGGCAGCATTCTTGCTTAGAAGGGATGTTTTTGTAATTTTGACGGTTTAAAGTTTTTTTTATTTATAAATATATTAAAAATATATTTTTGATATTAAAAATATATATAAAAAAAAATAAATAAAAAAATTATAACGTGATTTCAACGGTACCGCCAAAAGAAAATCTAGCAAAGAGTACCGGTGCATGTTGAATTATGTACGGATAATTAACAGAGCACTATCTGACCGAAAATGGAAGGGGGGATAGCAAGCCCGCAAATCATGTCATTTAAGATGAAAGTCAGCAAATTACAACCGTGTGCGAGAGAGAGGTTACAAGCAAATAAAGGATTTATACAATACAAATGTGGGCGAGAGGTTACATGCAAGGCATACAACTATTGTCCACTCTTTACAGAGTAGCGGGGTAAAACTCAAAAAACAAAAATATTGAAAAGTAAAATTAAAAACAAATAATTTTAAAAAATATTGAAAAAAATTGTAAGTTAACGTATTAACTGTGTGACCACAATATTAGATTGGAATAACCTTATAAAAAAATATGAATATCAATTATTGGTAAATTAAGTAATGAAAACTAAAATTAAAAAAATAATAATTTTTAAAAATGATATGAAAAAGATCAAAGTCAACATATATTAATTTTTAAAACTCATAACCTTAGTTATAAGCCCGAAGTTAACCCTGTAGTAGACAAATCTTGAAAAATAACAAAGCAAAATTCTAAATAAAAAAAATATTAAAGCATGAAATTGAAAAAAAATACAATAAAAAAGGATCTATAACAAAAAAAAAACAATTAAAAGTACAAAGATTAAATTTTATATAAAAATATTTTAAAATCAAATGAAGAGAGATAAAAATAAAAAAAATTAATTAGAAGAATGATAAAAATATAAATTGAAGAAATTTTTTTGAAGAAAAACAATAAAAAAAACAAAAACAAATAACAATAAAAAATACATACCAAATTGGATATAAGAAACAAACGAAATGATATTTTTATACTTTGATAATGAAAAGAAAGAGAAAAAAAAAAAGAAAAGAGAGAAGTTTATTGAGCATAACTATTATGTTATCGTGAACACACGCCCCACCACCTAAAAGATCAAGGTGAAATGCTTCCATTGTTGTTATAGAAGGTAACATTTAGAGGTAGGGTGTCGTCTCATGCATAGTTTGAAGAATGTAAATTTCTCCTTCTTGTTAATGTATATGTTGTGTATGTCAATCACTTTTTATTTTAAATAATATTTATATTTATTAAAAAAATCAAATCGCTTCCAAGTTAACTTAATAACAATTAGAAAACCAATTTAAAAATACAAAAAAAAGCTTTGAAAGATGGTTTGAAAAATATTGTTTTAATGATTATATAGCCTTTACATTATGCTTTTAAGATGTAAACAAATTGCTAAATTGTCCCTAATCAATCCTTATAAAACTTTTACTTTCAAGGATACTAGAGTCTCTACATTGTGCATTTAAATTATAATAAGACCAAATTATCCACGGTTAATCCTAAAACAACAAATGGATCCTAATGTAAAGATCTTTTTACTCCAATAACAATTGCATTTATTTTTTGTTTAAAGTATAAAATGGCAATTACATTGTTACGGTGAGTAGTTATATGTGTTTAGGTATACAGTGAATTTATTACGGATCCTAAACTTTTTAATTTAGTGTGTATTCAGTGATGTGGTGCAAAATATTTAAAAAATATTTTTTAAAAAATTTATTTTATTTTTAACATTAATATATTAAAAAATAATATTTATTTGATATTTTTTTAAAACCACACATATTTTTAACTAATCACGGTGCTAATAAGATGGACTCGAGGGTATATTTGATAATGTGGTAACTTTTATGATTGTGGTTTGAAAAAAATTATTTTATAAAAAATATTTTTAATTGAAGTTGGTTTGGTAAAATATATATTTGGTTAAAACTATGATTGAAATTAAGGTTGAATAAAAAGTAATTTAATGTATTT